AGGAATGCCAATGGTTGCAGAATTTTCAACAATCATCTGCATAAAGGCTCAAATTAGAACAGAGTATGCCCAGTGAATGCCTAGTAACTAAACATATTTGATTCAGTGAAATTCTTACTGGTGTCGGATCTGCATTGTACTCTTCTGCTTGGTTCATTCCTAAAGATTTTATTCCAAAACCATCAGCGGAAAACAGATGACAAAGACAAAAACCAATAACCAATTTCTAAAATAAACAAAACTCCCATATATCAACTCTGCATCTCTGAAAGTTTTGAACCCCCAAAAAAGGAAAAACATACCCTGAGGATATTCATTCTTGAAAGAGCTTTCGGCCATGGCGAAACTCCCACTGCGACTCTTCCCTGCCAATTGTCAAACAACGAAACATCAAACCCCATACGAAATGGTCTTACCCAGAAATAAAATCACAACATCAAAGGCGAGAATTGATTAGGGTTTCGGTAATTGAAGAATTGATTGGTTGTGAACTGTGAAAATAACAGACGGTCAAAATCAATTAAAAGAGGGGAGAATTATCATGAACAGACCCGTTTCCGATTTCTAGTTTCAATCAAGAAGCCTCAATTTATAATTTTATACCAACCTTTTCGGCGTCCGGTTTACAATAAAACTGTTTTTTTTTTCTCCCTCTTATTATTAATAGCTAAATTATCGATAAGCCATGTAGTTTATTAAAAATCTCAATTTGCGCTCTGCATTTCAAACTAGGTCACTATGTCCCACTTCTCCCATTCCGTCAATTAGGGTAACGACACTATTTCTTTTATAAAAAAAAAAAATGGAAAGTTGCTCCTCTGCTCTGGCTGCTACTGCACTGCACTCCAAGTGTTTTGACAAAAAGCTTAAGCAAATTTGCTGCGCTCCTTTCTTTGTTGCGCGCCAAGGGCGGTTCTAAACACAGCCCAGCCCAAAATTTTCCAAAAAAAACAAATAGGTCGATATGTTAGCTTAGCCTTGCAAAGAGTCTTCTGAGTTGCAGAGGAGGCACTGTATGCCTGTCGAAGAAGACGACGTCTGGCGTGTCTTGGTGCCTAATAAACAATACACACCGTTTTGTTATTAGCCTCCCTTTAGTGAAACAGTGGGTTCTGGGCTAGTTTTGGATGTATGATAATGGGCTTGGTTTAGCTTCAAGATAATGGGTGAATTATTTAAAAATGGGTTAATGACCTAAATGGTCCCCTAACTATCGCGCGATTATCATTTTGGTCCATCAACTAAAATTTTCAATTCAAACGTCCTTAAACTTTTTATAATGTACCAAAATCATCCTTCCGTCAAAGTCTGTGTATTATTCTGTTAAATCGAGGGACAAAACCGTATTTTTATGTGAGTATATTTAACAGAATAATACACAAACTTTGACGGAAGGATGATTTTGGTACATTATAAAAAGTTTAAGGACGTTTGAATTGAAAATTTTAGTTGGTGGACCAAAATGATAATTTTGCGATAGTTGGGGGACCATTTAGGTCATTAACCCTTTAAAAAATTTCTCTTATGGGCCAATATAATATAATAGAAGATTATCTAACAAACAAAAATTATTTTAATCATTACCCAACCAATATTATTTTAACCCAGACAAAATTTATACAAACAAATTAAGTCCGCAATATTAATATGGATCAAGTTTGTATAAAATTAAAAAAATTTATTCTAAAAAAAATCAAGTTTGTATAAAATATTGTCATTATTTTCATGATATGAAAGCTCGTGGTGAACAATTGTTACTTAATTGTAACTTTCTTTTGATGCCACACCACTTTCCGCAACCCCCTCCCTCTTTGGGGTTGGTTTTTGGTGAGAGTCTTTATTTATTAGACCTTAATAAATATTTGAGATTAAAGAGGCAAGAGAGATTACGTCTTCCAGCAAAAAGGTTGGAGAGAGAAAATTTTTCTTTTATTTTTATGAGAGAGAAAATAAAATTAATGATTGTCTATTTTAAAAAAAAAAATAGGTTTTTTAGGTTTTAGACATAAAAAAAATTTCACTTTTGGAAAAGGCCAAAGCTTTTTCAAAAAAGACAAAAAAACCACTCAACTTTCAAATCAAAGACATGCAAATGTATTGGATTCCTTAGGAAATCTAAAAATAAATAAGGGCATTTTTGTCCATTTTTGCTTCTTTTAAAATTTTTCTCTCTCCTTTTGCTTTTTCCAAAATGTCCCTAAAAAAAATAATAAAACTACTTGCCATGTAATATTTAATCTCAACCATTGAAAGTGGAATAATCTAATGGCCCAAAACTTGTGTCAAAAATGTAGCAAGGCATGCGTCACTGTTGCGGATGTTGCCGACGCCAATTTGGATTTGAGTTCCAGCCATAGCAAATCATTACTCAATTTAGTGACTTTCATGACACTGTAACCTTGATGTCTACTCGGAAGAATGACCTTCAAATAGAGCTCACCGAAATCCAAAACACCCTCCACACCATGACTCTCCATCAAGCTCAACAAGCCCAGATCCAACAAACCCTCATCGACGAATTGCGCCACCTGAAACCAGCCCCAAATTCCTATTGGTTCGATTCCAATACAACTTCGTTCCACCACCAACCCGTTGATTTCCCCCGTTCCCACTTTGCTCAACATCCCACGCTTCGTCCCTCCACTTTTCCGTCCGCTACCCACACGATTTCCCCTTCCCTTCCTCCACCAACCTCGCAGTTCTATTCTCCTCCTCACCCTTCAAACCCTACCACTACCAACCGTTTTTTCACCACCCTTCCTTACATTACTTTCCAACCTCGCAATTGTACGAGAGATTATAAAATACTACGATAGTATGGTCATGTGGCATATATAATTTGTATACGTATTATAATATAAGTTAATATTTATTGATAATATTCCCTAAAAGGGAGAAATATCAATCATATCGTCCACCCATATTATAACATGCATATAAGTTATACCACATAACCATACTACTCTACTATTCTATAATTTCTCAAGTCGTAAGAAAACGTGATTCATGCATGATCCTTATAATTAACAAGTTTAATTTAGTTGATTGTTCTTTTAACTTGTTATTCTACTTTTGCTATATTACTTTTTCTTTTTAAAACTTTATAACTGTGGGCTGGTATACGTGTTACTTTGTTACTAATTGATTAAGCAAGGAATGTGATGCTAAAGAAGAAAAAAAAAAGAACGAAAAAAGGAAGGTGATATTGGGATTGATATCAAATATTGCTCACTGCATATGGAATATGTTTATTTATCAGTAACAAGAATAGGAAGAAAGAATTATTTCGATTTTTTCCTCTACGTTTATTTACTGCTAAAATATGAAAACTATGAGAGAATATTTGTTTGTATGAATTTTCTGTGTATTTTTCTCCTTGTAGGATGTCATATTTATAATACAACAAAACCTGAATGGGCGAGTAAATAATAAATTCCTAAATCTATTTACAGTAGAAAATCAGGAATTAAAGTAAATCAATTACAATTATAATAGAAATTCTTGGTGTGTAAGGAAAGTAAGTCAATATCCACAAGTCAAGCCAACACTCCCCCTCACGTTGGTGCATAGATGTCGCCAATGTCCAACTGATCCAGTGAATTATGGAATGCTTTACTGGAAATCGCCTTCGTCAAAATATCCACCAATTGATCCTTGGATTTCACAAAAGGCAACTGAAACACTTTAGCCTCAAGCTTCTGTTTGATGAAGTGTCGATCCACCTCAACATGTTTAGTACAATCATGCTGAACTGGATTCTGTGCAATGGCTATAACAGCCTTGTTGTCACAAAAGAAATTCATCGTGGATGTAGGTTTATATCCAAGTTCAGTAAGCAACTTTCTTAGCCAAAGAAGTTCACAAATCTCTTTAGTCATACCTCTGAACTCAGCTTCTGCACTGGATAAAGCTACTACATTCTGTTTCTTGCTTCTCCATGTCACCAAATTACCTCCCACGAATGTGAAGTAACCCAATGTGGATTTTCTATCCGTTACATTACCTGCCCAATCTGCATCTGAATAACCATCAATATTTAGATGACCATGCTTTGAGAACATAAGTCCTTTTCCAGGCATACTTCAAATATCTAAGTATTCGAAGAATTGCATTCATGTGGTCTTCACTTGGAGAGTGCATAAATTGACTGACAACGCTCACCGCATAAGCAATGTCTAGTCGAGTATGTGACAAATAGATCAATCTTCCCACTAACCTTTGATATCTTTCTTTATTAGTTGGAACTTGATCAGGATATTCTCCAAGATGATGATTCTGAACAATAGGAGTGTCCGCAGGTTTGCAATCTAGCATTCCTGACATCAACAAGTTCAAGATATATTTCCTTTGAGAGAGAAATATGCCTTGCTGTAATCGAGCCACCTCAATTACCAAGAAATACTTGAGTCCACCTAGATCCTTCATCTCGAACTCAGTAGCCAAATAGTCTTGTAGTTTTGATATTTCATGTTTATCATTACCAGTAATAATCATATCATCAACATAGATTATTAATGCTATTACCTTCCCTTTCCGATGTTTCAAGAACAGAGTATGATCTGAGTTGCACTGTTTGAAACCATTGTTCTTCATTGCCATGGTGAATCGTCCAAACCATGCATGTGGTGACTGTTTCAATCAATACAATGCTTTTCATAACTTGCAAACTGTTCCAGTCTGAGTAGTATTATATCCATGAGGAATGTCCATATACACCTCCTCCGTGAGTTCGCCATGTAGAAAAGCATTCTTTACATCAAACTGGTGTAGTGGCTAATCCAAATGAGCTGCAAAGGACAATAAGACTCTGACGGTGTTTAACTTTGTAACTGGAGCAAAGGTTTCTTCATAGTTTATACCATAGGTTTGTGTGTACCCTTTTGCCACAAGTCTTGCCTTGTATCGCTCGATAGATCCATCTGCATTGTGTTTTATAGTAAACACTCATTTACATCCTATAGTCTTTTTTCCTTGTGGTATAGTCTCTAATGTCCAAGTCTGATTTTTCTCAAGAGCTTTCATCTCCTCTTTTTTAGCTTGGACCCACTTAGGATCTTTCAATGCTTTAGAGGCCTTGGTTGGAATATGGATAGCAGACAACTAATGCACAAAAGCCTTGAGTGATTTAGACAGCTTCTCAGTGGATACATGATTTGCAATTGGATACTTGGATGTCTTGCCAATATCAGGTGAATAACGGTTTGGTGGCTTCCTACGATTTTGCCTGAAAGGTAATTGATATCCAATAGTTTTATCCTCTAAATGCACAAGTCTAGTAGGAGTAGTTACCTCAAGGATATTCTCAGGAGATTGGTCTATTGGTATTGTTGAGTTAGAGGAGGGCTCTTCATCTTGTTGTTCTGTATTGTCTGTAGGTGTGAGACTCGGATTAGAAATATCTTCACATGGATTAGGTGGGTCAGGCAATTGATGGCTATGAATGGGTGATTGATCGCTTGTCGGCAGAGA